GTCCCAATAGAGAATTTCGATCATATTAAGGGGGCGCCACAAGATTCTTACACCCAAACAAAGAGCAAACCACAAGCTATAATAAGAAATTAAGAATGGAAATGTTAGAATTGAAAAGATGGACAAGAGACAACTATTTTTTTATGGTATTGGGTAGTTGCCACACACTACCTCCTAATCCATATTGGAGCACCGAAGAGTCACCAAGAATCAATTGTGCTTCCTTGAGCCACCAATACTCAAGTCTCCACTATGAATACCAATTCGCCAATCCAGATCGGCGGGTTCCGACTGAGCATATCTCTAGAAGCCTCACCACAAAGTCACTCCATAGGAAGTTCACCTAGTTTCCCACCCGGCCCTATAGGTGTTTGAAAATACCAAGAGCAATAAGTCTTTAACCTTCACTTTATAAGAATCTAAGCCAAGCACTCAAGATGTACACTAAGCATACTTTACACAAAGTGATGATATGATAATCCTATTCAGGCTAGTTTTCCAATGGATAGAAAGGAAAATGCAGGAATATGTTTTGCCTGATGATATGCCGGGGGGCCACATCAATGCACCACCAGATCATACGGCAGCCTCCAGTAGGTTGGCCACTTAACATACAATCGAGAGCACCATTATTGGATAATCTTCCAAGTACCACATAGGTACACTAGATCAATCGATGAACTCCAGTACCTTAGTCACTTGATACACATTCAAGTCCCAGGCTCACCGGATGATCCACCGAGTGCCACCTAGGCACACCGGATCATACAGTGAACTCTTGTACAGTGCTACCAGATGATCCACTAGGAGGGTCAAAATCATCCGATGCACATTCTAATGCATATTTTCAGCCTGTTTTAAGTTTGATCTTGTTCAAATGAACTTCTTTAAGATCCTAGACTTAAAACCTATCCAATGGGGGACACTATTGCGGCCTAACTTGGCGAGTTTATACCGTAGCATGTGTGCATCCAAATGCTCTCTACTTGACTCCCATCAAACTACTAGTCTTGAGTCCCCTTAATAGTACATCCAAAGATAAAAAAACAATTACCTAACCACTACGTAGAGGCCACTAGATTTAAAAATAAATCTTTTGCTATTTTTGTCCTCATTTGTGATTTCTAGAAAACGAACGTGTAAAGACGGTTGGGCCAGTCATCTCATAGAAGCTTACCAGTCACCTCTGTAATCATGGCGGTAGTAGTGAGATGTGCATGTGGTCATGCATTGTGGGCCCTTACGCTTGGTTTAGATTGCAAAAAAAGTGAACATGATAAATAGTGCTACTTTCGTCTTATTTGGCAAATATTGTCCAATCGTGGACCAACTAGGCTCAAAAGATTCATCTCGTGATTTCCAACTAAACTGTATAATTAGTTATTTTTTTTACCTACATTTAATACTCTATGCAAACGGCTAAAAATTGATGTGATGGAGAGAGAGTGAAAAAACTTGAAATTTGGATGGCATCTAAACAAGGCCTTAGATAGTTTAGATTCCAACGACTTTATTGCCCTGGATACTTGATGGGCAATATTGTCATTGTACGCCTCAACGTTGAAACCTATATCCAGTCCAATGAACTTAAAATCAAGATCGGAGGGAATAATATAAGCAAACACGCCCTTAGATGCACGCTAAGACCAACCGTTGGTCCGTTGGCATAGGTAGCATCGACGGGCTAGCTGAGAGCGAGTCTTGAGAGACCAGCTGGTAGGGTAGGAGCTGGTTCACAGAAACGGATGCAGCTAGATGGCCAGAAGCTTCTGAATTTCCTCGATGTTATCACCTGGCACACGTCGGCCTACACGACCGAGATACAGCAGCGGTGGTTGCGACCCGTACATGCCCGGTCCGTTGGCATAGGTAGCATCGACGGGCTAGCTGAGAGCGAGTCTTGAGAGACCAGCTGGTAGGGTAGGAGCTGGTTCACAGAAGAAGAAACGGATGCAGCTAGATGGCCAGAAGCTTCTGAATTTCCTCGATGTTATCACCTGGCACACGTCGGCCTACACGACCGAGATACAGCAGCGGTGGTTGCAACCCGTACATGCCCGGTCCGTCTCAAAATACTTCGGACGATGCCATCCCTTACATGGCGTTGTTCGCTGGTCTCACAAAACCAGACCAGCCGGCTGGTTGCTCTCCCAGAATATTGTTCATCAACCTGCCGCTACAGTGTTTCTCTTTCACAAAACCAGCCAGTTTTAACTAAGTTTCAGACCAGCGAACGGGACCCATATACACAATCAACGCCTACGTGGCGCTTGCGTGTGTGTATATAACTGCTCTTCGTCAACTACTTTTGTCTTTTCAGTTCTCATCAAGTGCGGCCTAGCACTGCTTTGACGAACCAGAAACGATCCAGTCGCCCTCGGCAAAGATGAAAAAAAAGAAAGGAACCGATGCATAGAATTTACCCTTTTAGGACCTGTGGCCATATCTAATGCATACCTCTGGACATTGGTTAGGCTAGTTCCCATCATCACTCTACTTCTCTTCTTCTGGTCATTCTTTACCCTTGTAAAATTCAGTTACTTTCGCTTCTCACTAGATTTTGTCCGTTAATTAATTAACTCAAGGTAATAACCAAATTAAATATGGGAACTCCTATGATGGCTTATACAGTACTCCGTCTTTATCTTATTCCTGACTGAAGATGCATTCTTATATTACCATGCACGTAATATTCTGTCACATTGGGAAACAGGAGTATTTAACAATCAGATCAATCCGGCACTTTGGATTCTTTTGATTTGATTTCTCCAATGGAGTGTCCGGGACAAAAGGTTTCTTCGTTTTTGCCATTTCTTTAGTGCAATGTCACATATAAGTATATTGCGTACGTGCACCTGATATGTTTATAGGATAAAATTATTCGAAGCAATAACTTGCATTATATATATGTGCACACACGTGCTCATCTAGTTCCAATTACGTTTGTTAAATGTTTGCGCTAAGCAAAAGATTCCAATCCGCAGCGATAAGTGTTTCGCAAGAAGATTCCTCCGACCAAGCAGTTTGATAATGTTTTGTTGCCATCGGTTTGTCATTATACATACACTTAACAAAGATGGCATTTTTACAATTTGATTCTTTCCGGTTAATAGTATAGTGCATCCTCTCTCTAGAAGATGTAGAACGCTTTTTAGGAACGGACAGGCTAGCGTCCAGACGTCCGGTCCTAAGCCCGCGTCTGGATGCTACTCCCCGCGCCTGCTCCGTGCCGCACGCCCCGCTCGTTCGGGTTTTGTGCCACTCGAACGACTCACGCCCCACCCACTCCACCCGCTGCTCCCGCGCCCTGCGCCTGCCGTGCCGCACGCCCCGCTTCGCTCGGGTTCCGCGCCACTCGAACGACTCGCGCCCCACCCACCGACGCCGCCCGCCCCCACGCGGGTCCACGCCGCCCGAACATCACTAGCATCGAGAAAAAGGAGACACCGAGTCGAGGCAGCAGAAGGCGTGGATAGAGATGCAACACCCGATCTACTTTTAAAACAATCAGATACAACACTTGCAGCATATGTATGAAGACAGATGAAATGTTTGAAACATGCATTTGAAGCACTTGCAAAAAAAAAATACATGAAACACATGAAAACCATTGCAACACATACGCAATATCCAGATAAAACACTTGCAACATATGTGTTAAACATAAAGCACTTGCAACATATGTGTGAAACATATGCAATATCCAGATAAACACATTTGCAACGTACGTATGAAAAAACAGATGAAACATTGCGAACAAACGTTTGCAACATAGGTGTACAACCATTGCAATTTGCAACATATGCAACATCTCGATCTACTTTTGCAACATCCATATGAAACCCTTGCAACATAATTATGAAACAATTGAAACACATAAAACACACGCTTGCAACATGCGCTTTCAGCGCAATGTCACCTTGCTGCTTGGACGAATAGAGCTTATCGTTGTGGAGCTCGACGCCGGCGTGGAGCTCGATGCCACAGAGAGAAAGGAAGTCGCCGGTGCCCGTGATGGACCACCAGTGGAAGAAGGCCCTGATGCGGATGTCGTCGAGGCCCGAGATGCGATGGTCGTCGAGGCAGCCGTGAGGCGGTCGCTGAAGGCGGCGAGGTAGATCCTCGCGGGCAGCACGATGTGGCAGCTGGAGCGGAGGTCGACGGCGAAGTCGTGGGAACCGACGTCGAGCGTGTAGGCACGCGCGTTGGCCAGGAGTAGGCCGCGCGGGAAGCCCCGGAGGCGGAGCTCTTCGTACGTGGTGGTGGCGGACGGTGACGAGGTGGAGTCTGGGCGGGCGAGCGGGAGCAGGAGCGACACCGCGAGGAGGGCGGCGCGCCATCGCGGGTTCGTTGCGCAGGTCAGAGACCGGGGGTGGAGCCGTGGATGACCTGGAGGGCGGAGGAGAACGGAAGAGACATGTGGGGTTAGCGAAACAATCCAAAATGGGAGAGTCGGCCCGTTCAAACGTCTGGACGGGAGTCGGAGTCAAGGGATGGACCCCTCCGCAGGTTTACCTAGGGCGTCCGTCCTAACCCAGCATTATCGTTTTAGGAAAGCATCTCCGATTTATTGGACCTTTTGGGCTATTTCATACAGAACGCACTGCTCAATGGGCAAAGAGCAAGGCTGGGGTATCCAGCTAAATAATAGCCGGAAAACAAGACCAACAAAAGGTCACGGACGCACCTGAACAATCCGCATTCAGCCAACTGTACAGGATGCACCATGACTTTGAACTATATGCTCTAGCACACAAATTACGCAAGCATAGCAATGAGACTGAGTTCCACGGAAGAAGACTTAAGCTGTTAAGCATGTTTACAACAGTGACAACAGCAGGACAAGCAGAAACATAACATAAGACAAACACCCTGCATTGTGTCGAGACAAGGTTTTGCAATGCTAACTAGATCTTTCTATGCCTGGTAAACCTTCACCAGCTGAAGCAGAGTCGGACAGATACTAACAGCCTGCCTTCGGCCTATACCATAGGTCCTTCCTACTCATTCTCATCTATCCAATCACCATAGATCCTGCTGATCTTGTCAGGGCCCTTCCACTTCTGAATGGGCCTCTGCAGTTGTCCAGATCTCTGGCTGACGATGGTGGAGCGCTGGGACTGGATGCCGAGATGGTACACGTCTGCATGAGGGGGCATAGCAGTGGACGCAGCAGCAGACTCTGCAGGAGCTTTAGCAGAAGCACCAGCTTGCTTCGAGTCAGGAGTGGACGTGATATCCCTGCCATCTATGTCCACAAGGCCCCCTCCATACTTGTGAAGTTCTGCAATTATAGCTAAAACATGTTAAGACTTTTAATAAAACAAAGAACTTGTATGTCATTGTGCCTAAATGAACTAGCTGGTGTATTAAAAAAATAGTTGCCCATGATCCAAGCACCAACCATCCACCTGACTGCAATTCTGTATTTGCAATGAAAAATATCCTTTCTCAAAGGATCACCTCAGGCAAGACATGAAACAGAAATGTGCTATGCAGGATGAAGGACTGCAACAGCAATACCATATGTCCATAACTGATTTAAGGCAGCACAAGATAAAAATTGCAACAGAAATACCACATGTCCATAGCTGACCCTGAAGCAGCACAAACACAAACCCTCAAAAAGGCAGGTAACTGGGCAAGTGATACTTTTTGTACGACACCCAATAGCTCATTGGTTGAACAGAAATGAAAACTTGACACAGACAAAGGCCAAAATTTATGAAATGCTTATGAATAATTGCATTACCACTTGTAGTACCACGATTGTAGAAAGCTATCGGATAAGCTTATTTTGCTGCCACCCAACCCAACCCAGCATAATAATGTCCACAAAATCGAAAACAAAAGGCAGACTATGGAACTACATTCTGATCAATGACACACCCTCACTCAGAAATCACAAACTTTGAAACCAACCAAACCCCGCAAGAATTCAGTATATGCTACATGTCAACACCTACCGGCATGGTTCACTCATAAACCATAAACATCTCACAGCCCAAACATATTTCTTCTAGGAATTCATTAGTGTATTGAGAATCGCAGCATATACTTCCAATCATATGACTGAAAAATAATTGACAAAACAGTAGTTCAAATCAGAGATACTACTATGAAGAAACTACATAAACCATGGTTTACTCCAGAAACCATAAAGATCTTATAACCCCCAACATATTTTTTTTTTCTGGCGATTCATTAGCATGTCAGAAATTATGCATAAACTTCAATCACCCGACTGAAAATTAATTCAATGAAACAACATTTCAAATTATACTACCATGTATTGTCGCCAATTATGAAACAAAATCAGTAATCCAACCTATGCAACTTAATACCGTGGCTAACATTAAGGACTACAATGTTTCTACTAGAAGTAAACAACAACATAGTATCATGCACAAACTACTTGAAAGAAACACGAATCATAATTGAATAAATCAGGTCCTAAATTGATGAAGCAGTAAGTATAACAATTTGATGATTAAAGGCTCATATGAACCAGAGACTCACCAGCAGAACCATGAGCAAAGTGGCATTTGCTCCCAAATGGGCAGTATCCAGTCATCTCCCACTTGTTACAGATCCTCGTCTTCCAGTTGGACGGCTTCTGCACCATCACTCCATTGGCAGAGGCAGCAGCATTGTATCCCCCACCACCAACCGTTGGCGAGAGACTGATGGCCACGCTCTCCCGCGCCTTGGACTGCTCATCGTGCAGGAAGGTGCACGCGTCACCATAGGGGCAGCCCTCTTCAGTATAGAACTTCTTGCAGTGGCGGCCCTTGTACGCCCTGCCCCCCTGCGAGCCGCCGCCGCCACTGTCTCCAGCGACGACACTTCCAGAGGTCATGATGGGGATCTGGTGCTCCTCCCGCTGCTCCGTGGCCTCCTCGTGGGCGGCCACGATCTCCTGCCAGTTGGGCGGCGGCTTGCGGAGCTCCTCCATGCCGTGCGCGAAGTTGCAGTTGGTGACGTAGGGGCAGGTCCCGGCCCGGAACTTGCAGCAGAGCTTGGTCTTGAAGAACATCTTGCCGATGGCGCGCGACTTGCTCGTGCTGCTCCCGCCCCCACCATCGCTGCCGCCGCCGCCGCCCCCGCCGCGAGCTTTCTTGCCCGGCGGCGGCTGCTCGCTCCCGGCCCGCGAGGACGGGTTCCGGTCGCCGTAGCCCGGGTCGGCGTTCCACTGGCGGTAGTCGTCCTCGGTGGCCCAGATGGCGGCGTCCCCGCCCGTGGACGGCGCCGCGTTGGTCCAGGCGTCGGGGCCCGCAGCGTCCGGGATGATGTGGATGGCGTTGGTGTAGTCCATCGCCGCCGCTGTTAGTGCTGTCCCCGAAGACGAACTTTGGGGCCCAAACCCTACCTTTCGATCCCGCGCGCACGCGCCGGAGAAGAAGAGAGAGAACCTAATCGAACAGACCACAGGTGGATGGATAATTCCGATCAATAAGACGCCGCATCTAAGAAATCCGCAACCAAATCAACTGGATAGGGAGGAAGGAAGAAAGAGAGGGATTTGGGTTTGGTTTGCTCACAGCGAGGAGAATCAATCCCCAAGTCGCAGTCCCGCGTGTCGACGCACCCTACCCCGTCGCTGCGGGGCCGACGCCGGCCTACGCGCCCGCTAGTCACCGCCCGTCCTCACCTGCTTGCGGCCGTCGTCGAGGCACGACGGTGCCGCTGAACTGAACTGGCCGAGCATTTGGGGGCTCCTTTTCCTGCGTTGGTTAGGGTTGGTGTCAGCCCATGGGCCTAATCCAGCTAGCCTCGCCTGCAGGCTTGCGGCCCAGCACCGCTAGAACAGAAGCTGCTTCCATTGCTCTCGCTCATCGGGAAAGGGGGCTAGAGAGAGATTGAATTGTACGCGTGGTTCGGTGGATTTTCGGGTTACTCTAGTGCAACTCATATACTTTCGAGTCATTCTTTAAGTGCAACTCATATACAAATGATTTGAGTTGTGCTTGAAGTCCACTCATTTTTGGCGTACCATTCTGATTCAAAAAATGTAAATAAACTAAAATTAAAGGTATAACTGACCACGGAAACAGAACATGCAAAACGTGAACGCCTGATTTTGCTATCCTCTTGCGGACTTGCGGTGCAGTCAGTTTGTTGTCAGCACAGTTCAGAAAGTAGGAACAACAAAGCAAACATAAAAGATCATCTCGACACATAGAATAGAACACTACTCCACAAGCATATCAGAATGACAAAAAACATGATGAATCATCACTCGTCAGAATTCAGGCATGCAATTTCACATTCTCGCTCAAGCACACAGCATCATCCATGTTTCCTCAGGTTCAGGAAAACAAATCTTACCGATTCATCTGTTCTTTTTATACGCACCAAAAAAAACATATGAGCTGCATAACAGGCACACTTCAGGAAAGATAAGACGAAGCGGCGAAACATTGCTTTGCACGCACGCTGTTCATGGAAAAACATTATTGATGATCGCTCATCAGGACCCCAAGCATACCATTTCATACATCATTCAAGCGCTCAAGCACATTATAGAACGATAGAAAGGTAAAATTGCCCCATGATCATCCATATTTTCTCAAGTTTCAGGAAACCAAGCCAAATCCTACCAGTTCATTCATCTATTTTTCCTAAGCAGCACCCCTTTTCATACGGTACGATCGAAAAGGAAAGAAGTTACAGCAATGGAAACATATGACCAAGAAGTTTGGCCACCTCAGCCACCACCAAGACCAGCTGCAGCTCATAGACATACCTAAGGTGCCCTCCGCTTGCAACAGTAACAACAGTGCATCTGAAGACCAAAACAAGAGCATCACTGCACCTTTTTAAACAGATAAAAAAAACACTAAACAGAGCACACAAGTAATGAAGGGTAAATAGGACCAAACCAACAGAGAAAACTATAGCTTCTCAGCTTCCCAATAGGCAAATCAATACGTACACCTGGATTAATTAGACCATAGTCACACAAACTTTGAATTGCCTCTCATAAAAAGGGAACATTATCCATAAACAAGCAAATAATAAGATCAGTTTTCAAGGTGTCATAACACAACCAGCACTTTCAAAACCGCACCAGAAAGCTGGCCGCCTTCCTTCGCATTACAGCACTTGGTCACCGCCAGTGTTCTAAGCCTTCTGTCCAAAGGCAATGAAAACTCAATCAGTAGAAATTGCCAAAATACCCCGACAATTTCATAATAATCATGTGACATTAAGTAACCATATCTGCCTTATAAAATAGTATCAAATAAAATAAAAGGCTGCAGACAGCAAGAGCATCAGAAGTAGCATTCGATCGAGGGCTTTGCAGTGTGCAAACCATTATATAAGCTGCAAAAAAAAAATCAGAAAGCTGTCAGTAATAACATACATAATAAAGCAAAAACATAGCATAGAACAGACTAATGTCATGCCAAATATAAGACAGAAATGAGAAAAGCATCAGTTGGTTATGTTATGACTGTGACAAGTGTTCCCAGCTTGAAGTAACAGAAGGAACTAATTTGTATACTATGCCCACACACCAGTAGCTAATATTCAGTTTATCGAATGCATACCTTCTAAAAAAATACTCTGCCATTTTGTTATCTACTCTGCAACTCAAATAACAGAATATTTTCCAGTTTGAGCAGATCCAGGAAGATTTAGTGCCTGGTTGGCACAATCCTCAAGGACACGTTTCAATTCTGCTTTCGCCTTCTTCACAGACGACTCTGTCGGGCCCTCAATAAACAGGTAGAGCTTGCGCTCATTTGCACCAACAATTTTTCCTTGAGGAATATATGTTCCCCTTGTAGTGATAGCAGCACCAGTCCAGTCCTGGATAGGGGCCAGTGTCTCTTTGTGAGTGATCCTCCAACGGGCATTCTGTGGGAAATCATTAATCTCAAGTTCAGCCTCATAGTGTTCTGGAACTGCATGGGCCTGTATCCTTGCAAGATTTTGTTGTAAGTTCATTGCAGCCTTAAGTGCCCGAGCAGTGGCCTCATCATTTTGCTGGTTTGTTGCTGCGAGTAAAGGAATCAAGGGGACTGTCGCAGACCCTGGTATTTGCTGACTAACATTATTAGCAGCCTTGTTTGCAACCAAAGCAGCAGCTGCATGAGCATTGGCAATAGCTTGTGCTGCCAGGTCACCTCCTGCCTTACGCACTCCCCCCTCCTCATCAGAATCTGAATCTGACTTGTCCTCCTCATAACCATATTCCCTTGCCTGAGCCTTCTTTGCGGTCTTCCGTGCTTCATCTTCTTCCTCATTAAACTTGAAACCACTACCACCATAGCCTGTACCATGGGCCTGCTCTGTTCCCTGTTTCACCTTAGCCATAAACCTATCAGCCAGGGCTTTTAGGTCCTGTGGAACAGCCTGCTCAGAGAGCTCCAGAGCCTTAACAAGGTCTGGTGCATACCGCTCCTCCTCCTCAGAAATAAAAGTCACGGCAATGCCCTTTCTACCAGCACGCCCTGTTCTACCAACACGATGGACATAGTCCTCATAATGGTTAGGGACATCATAATTGACAACCAGTTCAAGTTCTTTTACATCTAAACCTCTAGCAGCAACGCTAGTAGCAATCAGCAAGCTGCAGACGTTGCTCTTGAAATCAGCAATAGTTGATTCACGGTCAGTCTGATCTTTGCCGCCATGAAGGGACAGACATGGATACCCGTGCTGGAACAAGTCTTTGAGTAGAGAATCACATTTATCTTGTGAGTGAACAAAAACAAGGATTTTCCCCTTAACATACCATTCACCAAGCAACTCTAACAGCCTGAAGAACCTCTCGGTGTCTGGTCGCACCTCGACCAGTTGTGTGATATCTTTGTTCACGACACTCCTCCCACCCACTTGAATTTCAACAGGCTTTGTAAGCACCTTGCGTGCCAGTATCTCCACCTGCCGTGGAAATGTGGCAGAGAAAAGTACCGTCTGCCTATCTGGCCGGGTATTCTGAACTATACGAGTAATCTGAGGCTCAAAACCCATGTCAAACATCCTATCAGCTTCATCCATCACCAAGAAAGTCACTCTCCGAAGGTTAGTTATTTTTCCACTGCTAGTGCAAAGGATATCAATCATCCTTCCTGGCGTACAAACAACAATTTCGGCACCCCTCTTCAATTCGCTGATCTGCTGTGCAACTCCCGAACCTCCATAGATTGCAACACAGTTGATGCCAAGCACCTTAGAGAACTTCTTAATGTCTGAATGTATCTGCACCACAAGCTCTCTAGTAGGAGCCATAATGAGCCCAATAGGGCCATCTCCAGGGACAACAGGGGGCTGATCTTTAACATGCCTCAGCATCGGGAGGACAAATGCTAGAGTCTTGCCAGATCCAGTTTTTGCGATGCCTATACAATCACGCCCACTCATTATGATCGGCAAAGCCTGTGTCTGTATAGGCATCGGTTTCTCAAAACCAAGCTTCTTGATGGTGTCAAGGAGCTTGCTTGTCAGCCCACTCTGCACCCATGTCTTTATTGGCTTGGGCACGTCTTTACCATGCACCTTGAGCTCCAAGTGCTTCCGGTAATCTACCACTTCCTCAGATGTCATCTTGGAGATGTCCTTCACCTCAATATAGAAATTCTTCCGGAACAGTTCGTAGTCAATCTTCGAATGGTCAACAATTGCCAACTTCTCAGCCTTTGTCTTCTTGACGCGCTTTATGAATTCCTCATCATCCTCATCCTCCTCTCCAGCCCCATCATCATCAGCGTCATCGTAGTCCGATTCTGAATCATCCCCTTGCATAATTCTCCCCATAGCCTTCCTTGACCCTTTCTTATCCCCATTACTAAAGGCACCCTTTGAGCTCTTACCATTCTTGTCATCTGCACCTACAGCAGGGGCGGTGTCCATTGCTGCTGCAGCACTCTCCAGCTTGGCAACCTCTGGCAGCACCATGGAGTTCATGAAGGCATCGAGCGGATCAATCTCGTCCTCCTCCATCCCAGCACCACCGTTGGCATCGCCACCCCCATTGGGCAAATCCACATCCATCTCACCAGCGCCGCCATTCTCCTCAGCCTTCTTGCCGTCCTCCTTGTCCACTTCCTCATCAGACTCCTCGCCATCCAAGGTCCACTTCTTCCCCGCTGCCTTGACGCCATCAGCCTCGGCCGCCGCCGCAGCGGAAGCGCCACCGGCACCGCCGCCGTCCTGCTGCTGCTGCTCGCGGCGCTTCTCCTGCCACTCCTTGACGCGGCGGCGCCTGCGCTCCATCTCGTCGTCGAGGCGCTGCTGCTCGGCCTCCATGTCCTCCTCCTTCTTCCGCTGGCGCCGGCGCTCCGCCTCCTCGGCGTCCACCTCCTCCTCCTCCCGCGACGCCGGCTCCGGCTCCGGGTCCGGCTCCGGGTCCCGGTGGTGGTGGTGCGAGGACCGGCGGCGGCGCTTGCGGTCCCGGTCGTCGTCCTCCTCGCCATCCGCATCGCCGCGCCGCCTGGACCTCTCCCGCTCCTCGCGGTCCCTCTCCTCGCGCCGCCGCGCCCGCTCGTTCTCTTTCTCCTTCTCCTTCTCCTTCTCCTTCTCCCTGTCCCGCTCCTCCCGCTCCCGCGCCCTCCGCTCCTTCCGCTCCTCGCGATCCCGCTCCTTGTCCCGGTGGTGGCGATCCCGGTCCCGGTCCCGGTCGCCGTCGTCGCGGTGGTGGCGCGAGGAGGAGCGCTCACGCTCGCGGTCTCGCTCCTTGTCGCGGTGGTGGCGAGACGAGGAGCGGTCGCGGTCCTTGTCCTTGTCGCGGTGGTTGTGCTTGGAGGTGGATCGCTCGTCGTCGCCTGAGCCCATGGCGGCAGCGGCGGCCGGCGGCGAGCGGGTGATGGCGCAAACCCTAGACCAGGATTTGGAGTGGGGATTTTCCTTTTTTTTTCCTCCTCGTGCTGCGATTTTTTGCCTCCACTAGTGTAACGAGTTTTCTTTAGCGATAAATATTGCGTGATTGTATCGCGGAAAGTCGGAAACTGGCGTGGGCTTCGTGAAGGCCGCCGACTTCGGTGTCTGCGGCCCGGTGTGCTGCTTTATTTGTCAGGTTCCGGACGAAACAACTCCGCCGTATTCGTTTCTGGGTCGGGTTCATCTTGTGAACAAAAATGTACCTAAAAGTTGAACCTCACACAGCTAGAGCAATGATGATAACGTGCTTTGGTCTTAAATTTCTCAATAGAGTAAATTTCACTTTCCTCCTGATCCTGTTACTTACACATTGAACATCGAGCTCCATAAACTTATCAGGTTTTATCGCGGCATTAGTACTTGTACATTGTACATTCGACCTCACGTGTTTCAAATTGGATTTCACTGAGCTCTAATATATTATCAAACAATCCTATCGCTTGCAGGTGTCCTTCTCGCAGTTGGCCCACCAAAAAAAACCCAACTAGGACCTATTTAGATCCAAGGATTTTCAAAGGAATTTTAGATGAATAAATTTCAAAGGAAAGGAATCGCTCCATAGTATTAGGAATGAAGGAATATTGAATTCCTCCATGGTAGTGCAAACCAAAGGAAATAATACATCCACTCCAACCTAAGGGAAAGAATCTATGCTCTCCCTCTCTTGCTATGCTTGCTCATGTATGTAGTTTTTCCCCTACATTCCAAACACATCAAAATATTCATTCCTGTGTTTTGAAATCCTATAGTTTTCCACTATCCACTCTATCTTATTCCTGTGTTTTTTCATTCCTCTATTTTGTATTTCTTCGTTCCCTACTTCATGACGAGGAGGGAATTTTTTTATTTTTAACACTTTTTTTAAACTAATTTTAAATTTAACACTATTTTTTCTCCAAAACTAACACTTTTGGCCGCGCCTATTGCCATGGCGCGGCGAAACGCCTGTGCCGCGCCATGCATGGTGGCACGGCGAGAGTATGACGTGGCGAAGACCGGGTTCGCTGATCGGTGGCGCGGCAGACCCGGCTAAAAAGGCTCGCGGCCCAGTCCCACCTGCCAGCCGCGCCCGCCGCGCCTTCGATCTATCTGCTCGTCGTGTCCACCCGCCTTCCCGTTGCGTCGCGCCCTCCCGCCGCTCCCAAGTGCTATCGGTGCCGGCCCTCCGTTGCTGCCTCCCTCCCTCCCTTCCCTTCCATTCCCCGGCCGCCTCCCTCCCTTCTCGGCCTCGTTCAAGGTAATGACGCACTTTTTATTTTCGTTTGAACGGTGGATTGAAATATTATGAATGGGAGTTAAGGTTAGGAGAAAAATTATGTTTGGAAATTATGGGCTATGGTTTGATTTTGTCGATGTTAAGGTTAATTATTTAGTTAGAAGTGTGTTTACCATGTATATTTTTGCTGCTATAAGTGTTGGTTATACTATTTGAGTTGCAATGCAAATGATTATATTTTACATTAATTTACGTTGTTTTGATTGATATTTAATTTGAACCGTTTTATTAGATGGAAGACATGTTTCGGAAACAGTTGTGGCGAAAACGGGGTCGAGAATTGTACCCCGATAAGTCTAGCAAAGATGCTCCCGTTCCTCCTGACCTTCATGTCCCTAGCTGTGACTGTGGTCGTCCGGCCGACGTGTTTCAATCGAGACATCCGGACACAGCGGCTCGTTGCTTCTACACATGCAGTCGTTTTAATGTAAGTAATTGTTTTCGTATGTTTTTTTTTCTTCATTTGTATTACTAGGTTACTAATATTTTGTTGGAATTTTGTTGTGTAGGTCCATGAGAAGTGCTTTTTCTTTCAGTGGATCGACGGTGCAGACAAGTTTGACCTCAGGTACCTCCTTTTCGACGATTGGTGCAGAGAGCGACATCCACGAGAGCACTTCGAGCGGTGGGTTCCACCTCCCCCTAACCCCCCTCCAATGATGGCTAAGGAGAAGCACTTAGCCGCAATTAGACGACTCGAGAAACCTCCTCTGTGTGATTACGGAGATCGAGCTGTGATGAACCCTGAGAATACGTTGGAGTTTGTGTGTCCAAACAAGCATGAAGTAAGTGCAAAGTGTATGTGTTGAAATGTTGAGCTATATGTGTTCATGTACTAATGTCACCTTATTTAGGTGTTTTTAATGGCGAAGTGTCATTTCAAGGAGTGGTTGTATGGTCCTAAGAACTAATGGCCGGAAGAACCTCCAAAGGTTAAGGAAAAGAAGAAAGAAAGGGTAATTTACAAAGCACCTCCTGTCATGTGCGAATGTGGTGTTAAATCCAACTATGACATAGTCCCTTCAGAGCTTGAAATAGGCCATTATTGCGGCCATATGGTTGACTATGATGAGGTTGGTTATTTTTGTGGTAAACATGAAATCGTATTCTGTTTCTTTGGCTAAGACATATATGATATAATTTTTTGTTTGAACAGAGCACTAGGAAATACAGGTGGGAATATTATGATGGTCAAGCTAAGTTCTTGGGTGAATTGAAGGGGAAGCAAGTAATTATACGAAAGAGGGGATATGGACCTGACTACGTCAACCTATTCGTTAAACATCATAAAGACAAGATGCGTGAGTTTGCTAGACAGCGCGGTATTCGTAACCCAATCGATGTTGGCTTGACAAATGGGGATTGGAGAGACGAAGGGTGTTAAAGGAGGAGAGAGCAAGCAAGGAGGCAAGGGAGGAGACAAGAGTACAGATGCAGGTCTTGAACGAGTATGTTGTTGCATTATGTGCCAGTGAGTGCTTGAAGGCCATATTTTTCGTTGTCTGATTTTAAATATAATATAATCGCGCTGCTAACTGATTGCATTTTATACATGAAGGGATTGGATGCAGCGAGGACCATGACGGAGAGGTGGCTCGTGCAAGATATGAGGAAAAGAAGTTAGATGAGCACAGAACACGAGCTGGTCGCACCGTTCAATCACCGATTGTGTTGTCTGATGAGGGGGACGAGGATGAGGACAACACTGCCAGACTGAGCGAGCTTATCGCTCTAGTAGAGACGGGCTTATAGGCGGAGGAGGCTGAGGACGACACTGGCAGACTTGGCGAGCTCGTCGCTCTAGCAGAGACGGGCTTGCGCGCGGAGGAGGCTGAGGACGACACTAACAGATTGAGCGAGCTCATTGCTCTAGCGGAGGCAGGCTTGCAAGCGGAGGAGGATGGCGACGCATTCTTCACTTAGGCCGCAGAGGCTGCAGATGAAGCGGAGGCCGCTTACTACAGGCGAAAGGCAGATCAGGGCAATACAGGTGACCCTAGCCACAACAACAGGGTTGTCGTAGAGGATTGGTACTCGGACGACGAGTTACTTACTCAGTATGTTTCTGACTGAGGATTTTTGATTGCGCCGTCTATTAGTTTCATACTTTATTAATGATCAATGTAGCTATGTACTAGAACTTTCATTGTATTGTTTTGTTTTCTTTTTGAACTATTGATGTATTGTACCCATGTATCATGTACTCAGATTACCCATGGTCGATCTTAAGTGATCCCATTCGTTTTTCACCCTCCAACCCATCCGTTTGTCGCTCTTCGATGCATCCAAGTTTTTTTAATAATAGTGAATGCGTTGAGAATTTTTAAAACGAACAAAATCAAGTAAAATTGTTTCGAATACGGTTGGCTAGCATATATATCTTGCATGTTTCCCATATATTTTAAAATAGTATCATGTAATTTATGTTATTAACATCAGATCAATGTAAAATAACAAGGGACACGGCGCGGCACGTTTAGCAGATCGATGTTCTCCTTTGGCGCGCAACCCTAAGCCCAGGTTCTGTCGCGCCATAGCCAATGGTGCGGCAGTGACGCACCATAGCCCACGACGCGACAGGACCTAGGCGCAGACAGCAGCCGACCAGCCTCAATTCCAATTGAACGGGAGCTGCTGTCGGTGCAATAAACAACTACAAGTGCTGCCGCGACGCATTGAAACGAATATGAAGCAAATATATAGAGTCCTTGTGCAAGTTGATAAGTTACCACATAATATTTTCATTGGTTCATGAGTCTGCAAGTTTCGGACGACAATATTCGTTCGACATAAGTTCGACATAACCAACTAAGTCCCAAGAATGTAAGGATCCTTCTGTCTCTTCGGATTTGTAGGCAACATAGTGGGAGTGTAGCCAACGTCGGTGTGGGGCAAGGGCACCTCTGCCTCGATGTCAGTCAAGAAGTGTGCTCAGTGTGGGTCGTTGTACTCCACCTTAAGAAGGGGGTACAACTGGTGCTGCGTGGGAGGGGTCATCCTATTACAAATTAATAAACAAAAGGTTAGAGTATTCAAATTAACAATATTCAAATTAACATTATGTAGCATTGCAAATTTAAACTACTTGTTATGCAATACGAATATAATATGAAAGCACATGTATATATTCAAATTAACATTAATAATATGAAAGCACCTGCTGCCCTCGTCTTCTATGCATGCTAGCCTTGTGACGAGGGACTTTGCAAACGGAGCAAAGATTCCTGCCACGGGTCTCGTTGAAGTCTCCCCCTCTATACATGTCTTCGTTGTACCCTCTCATAGCGTCCATGTCCCCCTTGAGTTGCTTCTTCTTCCTCCTATCCTTCCCTACCTTCATTAGATCCGGATGCGGCACGTAGTCATAACCATTATATGGTGGCCACTATGTCGGGTCAAGATATGGCTCGAAGCTCATCTCCCAAATACTAACGATATTCGAACGCAGATACAAGGGTGACATATATGGCAGATCCTTATAGTTGTACCCGCGAACCCTGTAGGCCGTGATCATATGAGAGCAAGGGGCATGCATGATCTAAGGGACGTTGTAACTGCACTCTACCTTTTCAAGATCAACTCGGTAGTTTCGTCCACCATAACATTCGCAGCCCAAGCT